TTTTGGTTGAGATTGTTTTACGTCCGTATTGTTGTGAAGATTGTGATGGGCCCAATGGGACTATTGGTGGATAGTGTTGAGGGTCACTATTGATTATTGTTTCGAGTAGTTGATCATTTTTTTTTATCTATTATATGTTAAAGGAAATATAATACCCATTTGTGTATTGTATTGTCTGACAAGCAGTCCTAAAAACAAGAGATATTCATTATTCCGTATGACAACAACTCAGTAGCTGGAACCAAATGATTTTTTTTTGCTTGAAAATATTATCAATTTAGTTGGTGTCATGGATAAATCATTGTTCAAGCTCTAGTCAATATAGTCATACGACACCCAACAAATGTGTGTTTAATTGGACTTTTTATTTAATAACAGAAAAATGTATTAAATAATATTTGTGAGTGCTTACCCTACATGTTTTAGTATTTACAAATGCTGACAAACTGTAACATCCATAAAGCTCGAGTATGACAATCCCCTGACAAACTGAAATAAAACTATATAACACCTGTGTGGCAGGAACTGAGTGAGAATCAGTCGACTCCCAAGAAAGAGAAGCAGGAGTGGCTGTCCAAGCAGAAGGAGAACATCCAGCACTTCCAGGTTTGGATCTCTCACACAATAATGCACACTTGCCAAGACCAAATGATGATTTTTTTTTTACACAGGCCTGGCAATGAATTCACACGGTCGATATTGTTAAATAATAAGATTTAACAATATTAATTAGCCGAACTTGATTTCCCAGCCAAGTACTAACCACTCCTGTTCCTGCTTAGCTTCCGAAATGGAAACTTTATTTTTTGAGTTGTGTTGAAGTAAATCATATTAATACCACTTGGTGGCAACTTTCAGGCAGAGGAGGAGGCAAACCTGTTGAGGAGACAGAGGCAGTACCTGGAGCTAGAGTGTCGGCGGTTCAAACGCAGGATCCTCATTGCCAGACACAATGTGGAGCAGGATCTGGCCAGAGAGGTACTTAGTTGCTCTTACTTTGGTGTTTGACTTTATCTATTTGACTGCAGTCGCACAGCAATTTCTTATCTTTCTCAGGAGCTGAATAAACGGCAGACACAGAAGGACCTGGAACACGCCATGTTGCTCAGACATCATGAATCAATGCAGGAGCTGGAGTTCAGGCACCTGGGGACGATCCAGAAAGCGCGGGCAGAGTTGATCCGCACCCAGCACCAGACAGAGCTCACCAACCAGCTGGAATACAATAAGAGGAGGGAGAGGGAGCTGAGGCGCAAGCATGTCATGGAGGTCCGACAGCAGCCCAAGAGCCTCAAGGTACATAGACCGATGGATGCAGTTCTGTAGCTGACCCTAATATAAACCACACACACTCCCTCACCCAACACAACACCGGTTAAGCGTTTCCTTCTGTCTTCTTCAGTCTAAGGAGCTTCAGATTAAGAAGCAGTTCCAAGAGACTTGTAAAACCCAGACCAGGCAGTACAAGGCCCTCAGGAACCATCTGCTGGAGACTACACCCAAGTCTGATCACAAGGCTGTGCTCAAGAGGCTGAAGGAGGAGCAGACCAGGAAGCTGGCCATCCTGGCTGAGCAGTATGACCACTCCATCAATGAAATGCTCTCTACACAGGCTGTGAGTACAAAACAAATTAAGCTAAACAGCAAAAGCAAAACTATTATTTACATCTTGAAAACATTTTAGAACATAAAAACAAGACTAAGACCAAGCATTTGATGATAACTTGAAACACTTGACAACTTTTTGTACCTGTGCAAGAGACAGTGTTTTCTTTCTTTTTGTACGGTGGGGTTAAGTGTTTGTCTTGTCTTGCCCCAGCATGTCCCAAAGTAAAAAAAAGTCCTTGTTAAATTAGGTCCCACATGCTATCAGATGTTAGTTTGATCATTCTAAATCAGATGCAGAATAATTGTGTTCAATGTCCCTGTCAGTTAAGACAGATACATATTAGTTATTCTGTATTAATGGCTTCCTGAAAGATCTCTTTTCCTTAAACAAATATACTGTATGTCACTGACATTGCGCAAAAAACAAACGACCATGGTGCTTACAAAGAAACATTTCATATCTCTCTCTGTTTTTGTCCTCCTTACTCTTCTTCTCCCTCAGCTGCGGTTAGACGAGGCTCAGGAAGGCGAGTGTCAGGTTCTAAGGATGCAGCTGCAGCAGGAGCTGGAGCTGCTCAATGCGTACCAGAGCAAGATCAAGATGCAAACAGACGCTCAGCACGACAAGGAGAGGAGGGAACTGGAGCAGAGGGTCTCTTTGCGTAGGGCTCTGCTGGAGCAGAAAGTAAGAAAGGCCCTGGACTTTGTTTGGTGTTGTCTATTGTCAGGATGTGTGTTAATAAATTTGAGTGACAGTAGACACTAAGGGCTGATTCAGACCAAATCAGGTGTTGTAGGAAGGAAGTAGAATCAACTTTTGGAGAAATGTAACCTTACATCTGCTGATCAGACCGGTCAACCTGCTCCACAGTGAGCCTGAAATATCACTGAAACAGGCACTATCCAGACACAGTTCATGGACCAAATCATGATACTCGCCCAGCTGTGTTTATTTTATGTACCCAGCTTCAACTTCTGTCTCTGGCTGCAATCTATGCTGCAAAATAGCGATTACAAGAAGCTTCCTTTGGTTTGTTTGAGAGAATAAAGACAGCTGTGGTTGAGCTGCATAGACAGTGAATGGGAGAGAGCGAGAGTGCCAGTAGAAAACCGCAGAATCAAAGAAATAAAACTTGATTTTCTGATTGCTTACATCCCAAAGCGCACACACACACACACACACACACTACCGCA